CACAATACGTAATTACAACATTACCCATGTACCATACCGCGGGGCTTTGCCCCCGCACCCCAACCCACGTAACTTCCCAATTTGGATAGATTCTTCCCCTCCGCTTTGATCCAGCGTCTGTCCCGATATGGTATATGAGTCATACCATAACATCTTTAAAAAGAAATTCTCTTAATTAGGGGATTGATGCGCGCTTCGTTGTTAAGCCAAGTTCTTCTTTTTGATGACCGAGGAAATTTTATATTGGGATACTACAAGCTTTTTTATTTTCATTTTCAGCCTTCATTCGATATGAATAGTAAATGATTGGTTTTATATAATTGTATAAAATAAAAGTATCATAAGTCAAATCAAATGTTAGACAACACACAAGGAGAGTATACGTATATTGAAAAAATTTTTAACATCATGGGGCATTCGCAGGCATACCGTCCAGTTCTTATGTTTTTACAAATCTAACCACTAAGCTATTTCTTTTATATTTACATCACCCAAATCTTTCATATCATAAAAAATTCTTTAACATAATGGGGCATTCACAGGAAAAATTATTGTATACATACACCGTATGCAGAGATGCATACGGTGTCTGATCCTGACCGTAGATCACAGTGATCTACGATCATGATGCAATCAATTTTTTTTTGAAAAAAAAATATTTAAAGTGGGGCCCATCGAAATATATCATAACCATAGATCACCGTGATCTACGGTCAGGATCAGACACCGCGTGCATCTCTGAATGCGGTGTATGTATGCAATAATTTTTCCATTCACAGGCATACCGCCCAATTCTTATGTTTTTACAAATCTAACCACTAAACTATTTATTTTATATTTACACCACCCAAATCTTTCATATCATATAAAAAATATCATTATTTTAATTTTTAAAAAGTGAAATACGCCTTTTACATGCATAATAAATTAAGATGATATATGTAAATATATAGGAATTGAATGGTATGTATGTAAATCTTCCTGACATTTTCTTATAAAAGTATACATTAACTTGATTATCAAACTGGGAAAAAATAATGTAAAATGAAGTCTTAGTTCTCATGATCAACACAAATTCTCTGCATATATAAACAACTCCAACCACTAGAAACTAAGAAGGAATTCTGTGGGGTGCATGGCCAGTTTATTTTAAGTTAAAAGGGCTAACATATCTTAGTGGTGACATGCATGCATAATCATGACTTCGAAGTTTGATAATTAACATTTAAGCAATCATTGCGTTGCATCATTAAGATATCTTAACGATATCCTTGCATCAGAAATAAAAAAATTACGATATTCAAATTAATGATTCCCCATCTTTAATAAATTCTTTTGCTTAATTGTTCATATCTTAACGATATCCCTGCATCAGAAATAAACAAATCACGATATTAAAAGTAATGACTATTGAAATTAATGATTCTCCATCTTTAATAAATTCTTTTGCTTAATTGTTAATCATCAAATGGTATTCATAGGATGTAATTTCTTAGATGTTTATAATTACAGATTGAGAGGAGATGCAATTAAATTATTAAGAAGTTAAATATTTACTTATAACCAGATTGTGCTGTTGAAATTTCAAATGATATCATTATAGAAATAAAAATTGGAATGATAGTTTTTCAAATAATAATAAAAAAAAAGACTTTTATGATACAGAGTTGTTAATTGTTCTTTAACATTTCATAATGAGCTAATAAAACAACTGCATATCAGAGAAATATATTGACATTAATGTTGACTCTGTGAGGTAGTAAATACATAAAGTATTTTTCTACGAATTATATGACAAGGTCCGCCGTCTTTCAACAATAACGAGGGTCCTTAATGTTAGAGAAAAGCTATATAACCCCTTCATTTTCTAAATAATAAGAAAAACACCCCTGCCCAGCTCCCCTATAACGTTACAAAAGCAGGAACGATTGTCTCAGCTCCCAAGTTTCAAAGAAAGAAGCACTTCTCCTTTCCAATATCTTCCTCCACCACAAAAAAGCTTTCAGAGCCTGCAAACTCCCACTGTTTTGTCCATAGTTTCATTTCTCTGACACAGAAAGTTTCATCTCTCTGCTCTGCTTCCATGTCCATACTCAAAGAGCTTCTTCTCCTCTCTCCCTCAGCTCTTCTTCTGCTCGTCATCTTCTTCTATCTCTCCAGATACAACCGAAAGCAGCCCAATCTACCACCCGGCAGCCATGGCTTCCCGATTGTTGGCGAAACCTTTGCCTATCTCAAGCCTCACTGTGCCACCACCATAGGGCAATTCATGGAGCAACACATAAACAGGTGAAAGTAAACTCAAGTCTACAGTATTATCAGTTCATTAACAGCAACTGTGAAATTAGAAAAACAAATCGCACATCGATTTTACTACAGCCATCACATTCAAAATATCTTTTTTAAAAAGTTTTTCCTCATCATAAAAATTTTTGAAAAAAAAAAAAAAAGAAGTTATACCAAAAAAAAAAAAAAAGGATTTCACCAACGGACACTAAAGCTTTTGAATTTATAAATATTAATTCAACAACTAGAATGTTGAGGTTGAGGGTCTCAGGTACGGGAAGATCTATCGGTCAAATTTGTTCGGAGGGCCGACGATCGTGTCAGCAGATGCCGGTCTGAACCGGTTCATCCTACAGAACGAGGGCCGATTTTTCGAATGCAACTACCCCAAGAGCATTGGAGGAATACTGGGAAAGTGGTCGATGTTGGTTCTGGTGGGAGAGATGCATCAGAGCATGAGAACCATATCCCTTAACTTTCTCAGCAGCGCCCACCTCCGCGCCGTCCTCCTGCCGGAGATCCAGCGGCAGACCCTCATGGTGATCGCCGGTTGGAAGGAGGGAGTCGCCTTCTCTGCACTACAGGAAGTTAAGAAGGTTATATTCCAGATTTTAATTACTGAATCTTTGAAACGAGTTTAATTAGTTATTAGATTAATGGAGTAATTTGGTGGTGATGATGATGATTACAGTTTACTTTCAATTTAATGGCGAAGAATATGATGAGTTTGGAGCCAGGGGAGCCTGAAACTGAGAAGCTGAGGAGGGAGTACATAACGTTCATGAAAGGGGTGGTCTCTGCTCCATTAAATTTTCCAGGGACCTCATACTGGAAGGCTTTGAAGGTATGCTGATTAACTTTAGAATTTTTCTTCATTTCTACAATCTCTCTAGCTAGTTTTCTCTTCTTCGCACTTTTTTATATGTTTATCAGAATTAAAATAATGTCACAAACTCAAGTTATTTCAATTCTTAATTCTATGGATCACTTGGGATTTGTAGCCTCTAATGAATTATCCATGTATTGTTTAATGTTTTAGTATGAATAAAGACATGTTAGTTAGTTAAAGTGGGAGGAGATATTGAATATAAAATAGACTCGTATACTTTTTTAATACTATAAACCGTATTCATGATTGGATTCATGGATTCATTTATCCTCATTTTTCTTTATTTTTTAACAAATCTAGATATAAATGCAGTGATCTTTAGGTAAATTGTAAATTTATTATTTATTGACTAAAGTGTCAAAATATTTTTAATCCCAAATTGTCTTCTACTATTTATGTGGAGGTCTAAGAATTATTTTAACACTTCTATAAACTCTGTGACTGAAACAATCTCTGAATTGATATATTAAAAGTTTATGAAATTAAATATTTTGATGTAAATTAATAGCATAAAATTTGCAGTCAAGATCGAGCATTCTGGGAGTGATCCAGAAGAAGATGGACGAGAGAAGTGGGAGGATGAGGATGAAGGAGGCGGGGGAAGAGAGAGAAGAGGAGGATGACCTGATGGGCTGGGCCTTAAAACAGTCTTCTCTCTCTAAGGAGCAGATAATGGATCTTCTTCTCAGTCTCCTATTTGCGGGCTATGAGACTTCTTCAATTGCCTTGGCCCTCACCATTTTCTTTCTTGAAAGCTGTCCTAAAGCTGTTCAAGAGCTTAAGGTAAAGATGTGGATGATTTTATTACTATTTAGAAAAATAAAGAGAATTTTTAGTACTGATTCCACCCCTGACTCTATGGATCTAAAGGAACAATTGGAATCACTTTTGATTTTATTTATTTATTTTACTTAAAGCAAAACAAATTTATTAAGTTATAAATCATGTTTAGTTGTTTTTAAAAGCATTTAATAATTTTTAAATATTTTAAGTATTTTGAAAATAAACTAATTTATTTTTTAAAACCAAACATAAAAAACTTCAAAATTAACTAAACAAACATATTTATAAAATAAAAACAAAAACAAATTAAAAGTGATTTTAAAACTATATTTTAAATGTTATTTCTAAATTATATTGCATAAAATATATGATTTTATCCTGCAATTGTATTAAATATGGTTGAGGATAATTTGATTTTGAGCTAATTTGATCATAATCTTAAATATCTATAAGCCATCTTCAAATTAGCTCATGGAAAAAAATGATTCATTTCAAATATATTTTACTCAATTTATACCCAACTGGCAGCTCAAAATTTGAGCTTGTAATATAATATTGTGTTAAATTTTATTTATTTTTCCTTATATTTTTTTTTTCACTTACTTGCAGGAGGAACACTATAATATTTTGAGGAAGAAGAGTGAAAGAGGGGAACATGGGCTGAGCTGGGCTGACTATAAGAAAATGGACTTCACACAGTGTGTAAGCATTAATTTCAAGTTCTTAGTGGAATTCCGATTTTTCTAATTTAATTTTAATCGTTGCATGATTATATTTTAACCTGGGTCTATTGGATTTTGGAGTCTTGTTGTTGTTTCTAAGAAAAAATAACGGTAATGTTCTTACAGATAATACAAAACTCTTATCTGCATCATACTAAAATCACAGCAGTAAAATCACGAAGATCTTACGCATTTACATACATAGTATATAACTCTTATTTATTCACATATAACAAATATCACAACACACACCAACATGCATATCACACAATTCTTAGGAATTTACAAGTCTCACACCAAAACATTGATCTTTACACATAAAAAATGAAATACACTTTAACCAATAACATTGAACTTTCACTGAAAACATTGCAAGCCTAAAAAATTTCAAATCGACGAACCAATCCAAAAATTCTAAGGACATAACATGGAGGCAAAATCACATATCAGGTAAACCCTAAATGCATAAAAAAGAATCATAGAGATACATACAAAATCAATGACAAAGGAGAGAAGGATTTTTGGTCGATGACATAAAAGAAAACCCTAAACAACGAAGTAGATTCGAAGAGAAGATCAAATAGGGAGGGGGTTAATTGGAGATAATATCGGTAAATACTCGATTTGAGTGAGAAAAACAACGTAAAATCAAATTCAATCCATGGACGAGACCACAAAACCAATCATCTTCTGTGCTATTCCAGAAAATCATGATTCGGACATCGCAATTTTCTCATAAGCCGTGCAAACGAACACCCTAGGTGCATTACAAAACATGAAACAGCAAAATAGCCACCCCAAACAAGACCTTATAATGGTACATTATAAAATATGAACGTAGCTACTTTTTAATAAAAAAACTATGAGTAAAAATCCTTATTTTCATTCCTAGTTATATGCAGCATATTTTATTATTTACTGTTTATTATTCCGGATGATATACATACCCCTCAATTCTTATAGATAATACCATAAAAGTCTCAAATCAGATTGAAAATATTATTCATATTAATTTTTTTAATGAAATATATCTTTTGATGTAATATTTTAAATGAATGTATAGTTGGCTAACCTCTTCTTTATTTCATTGATAAAGGTCATAAATGAAACACTCCGGCTCGGGAATGTTGTTAGATTTGTCCACCGGAAAGCAATACGAGATGTGCGATACAAAGGTTGGCTATTGCTCTTATACTTTTAATTATAATTTTATATATAAACTTTTTTAATATATATATTGCATATCTGTATATATATATATATATATATTAAAGTTAAATATATTTATGCATATTGATTTTTAAATATTTATTTTGTTAAGGTTATGTCATCCCAGCTGGCTGGAAAGTTCTTCCAGTATTTGCAGCCGTTCATTTAGACGAGGAGATTTACACACAGCCTCACCAATTCAATCCCTGGAGATGGAAGGTCAGTCAATTAATCTTAATATACTAAAAAAAATTATGGGATATGCACGAAACAGACTAAAAATATAATTTTTAATTAAATTATCAAATTTAAACTTGAATATAAATTTTTTTTATCGGATCTTATATCCGTGATAGGGTTGGTTTAGCTCCTGTGACCAGCAAAATTAGAGAAAGTCGTCTTTGATGGTTTGGTGACATTAAACGTCGACCATTCGATGATCCGATTATGAGAGTAGATGTTTTAGATTCGGCATGTGTAAAGAAAGGCAGAGGTAGATCTAGGAGTAAGAGTCTCAAATCAGATTAAAAATATTATTCATATTAATTTTTTTTTAATGAAATATATCTTTTGATGCAATATTTTAAATGAATGTATAGTTGGCTAACTTCTTCTTTATTTCATTGATAAAGGTCATAAATGAAACACTCCGGCTCGGGAATGTTGTTAGATTTGTCCACCGGAAAGCAATACGAGATGTGCGATACAAAGGTTGGCTATTGCTCTTATACTTTTAATTATAATTTTATATATAAACTTTTTTAATATATATATTGTATATCTGTATATATATATATATATATATTAAAGTTAAATATATTTATGCATATTGATTTTTAAATATTTATTTTGTTAAGGTTATGTCATCCCAGCTGGCTGGAAAGTTCTTCCAGTATTTGCAGCCGTTCATTTAGACGAGGAGATTTACACACAGCCTCACCAATTCAATCCCTGGAGATGGAAGGTCAGTCAATTAATCTTAATATACTAAAAAAAATTATGGGATATGCACGAAACAGACTAAAAATATAATTTTTAATTAAATTATCAAATTTAAACTTGAATATAAATTTTTTTTATCGGATCTTATATCCGTGATAGGGTTGGTTTAGCTCCTGTGACCAGCAAAATTAGAGAAAGTCGTCTTTGATGGTTTGGTGACATTAAACGTCGACCATTCGATGATCCGATTATGAGAGTAGATGTTTTAGATTCGGCATGTGTAAAGAAAGGCAGAGGTAGATCTAGGAAGACTTGGGCTTATTGTATTAAAAATGATCTTAAATTACTAGAACTAAATGAAAATATGACACTAAATAGGACGCAATGGAGAAAAACGATTCATGTAGCCGTAGTTTTACTATAGTAAGGAACATATTTGTGAATTATATCGATAAGTCCTCTTAGAACGAATATTATCTTTCATTATAACTATCTTTTATTCACATATTCACATTTCTTAATGAATAAACCCAATGTTTAATTTGGGTCAAACTACACATAAATAACTAAACATGAAGATCACGACAAGCATGTAGTGTTTCCATAAAAATATTCATTTTTACAATGAAATATTTGAAAATAACCAATACTTGCATGATTTACATGATCTTTGAACTTTTGTGGTAGAATATCTTTTGTTAAAGGATCCAGCTATCATCAATTCAATGCTCATATACTCAATAATCATTATATTATTTTTTACACATTCTTTTTTGACTAAGTACTTAATGTCAATATATTTGCATCGACTATCACTTTTATTATTATTAGCAAAAAAAAATTATAGTTGAAATATCATATTATATTTTCAATGGCCAAGATATAAAACCCACAAATCTAAGGCCAAAAATCTAGCTATTATTATACAATGTAGTCTCAAAATAAGATACAAACTCAACCTTTATATTGGAAGTAAAATTCAAAATCTAATTGATGCGGCATAAATCTATCAACAGTTATAAATATTTACTCATATGCTGATTTTGAGAGTCAAAACAACTAACAAATTGAAAATTAGAGTAGCCAACCACCTCTAAACTATCAATCCAAGTATACGCATAAGCATGTAATCCTTAGTACATTAAAGATGTCTCACCACATTCTTTGTTGCTCGCCATTGATACATTTGAATTACTCTAATATCTTTCTAACATTTAAAATATAGAATAATGTCAAGTATTGTTTGAACCTGAGCATACACTAAACTAATCATAGTTGAAACATGTGAAATATTTTTTAATTTCTCAAATTTAAAGTCAATTTTTGGGCACCAACTCAAACCAAAATCTCCACCCTTTATAATAGGAATTATGTTTAGCGAACAATCATTCATTATAGGTCTCTAAGACTTTGTTAATATAAATCTCTTGGCACAAACCTAAAATACCTTAAAATTATGAAAATTGGCACCCAATAACAATAAGATTGATGAGTAAAGTTTTTTGTTGAACTTATAATTAACCATGCATGTAGATGATTTAGTTTTAATTAATCCTACATTTTATTCAAACTTTCCGTTCCTTAAAAACTAAAGATATGATATTTGAAGCATTGAATGCTCTTGAATTTAATAATGGGGACATAATAATAGGTGTCTTTGTATACAATTTAATAATGGGGACATAATAATAGGTGTCTTTGGAGCACCGGTGTGGCAATGGTGCATTGTGAGACTGCACTTTTTGATGTTTCACAAAAACTGTGTTTTATCTTCTTTTTAAAAAGCTGCGGAGAGAGCTGCATTTTGCAACCTGTAGACCAAGCTAAGTGATGTGACTGTTAGTAAAGTACATATGACTTTTGGAAAATAAAAAATATTTATAATAATCAACACAGCTTTTTAAACAATAATTCTTCTGCAGCAGATTTACAGTTGTTTCTTAAACAGCTGCAACTGCCCCAAACAAATCCTAAGAATATGCTAAATGAGCAGCATGAAATAAGATACATAGGCCTGAATTTAAACTTTTAATATGAGATATTCCTAAAATAATAAAATTATTAAAAAACTGTTATATGTTATTTCAATAGCAAAAATAATAATTTAAACATCACAATAATGATTGTTTACCCATATATCACCTGCACATTTTCATGCCTAAATCTAAATATTTAAAAAATGTGATACAATTATTTAATTTCTTTATAATTAAATATCTTTTTGAGTATTTTTTTTTCTCAGGGAAATTATATGCATAGCACACAATTCTTATTTATTTATATATCTATCTAGCAGTTAAATTTTTATATTTAATTATATACAACTTAAATTTTTAACATTGCATACAAAATAACCAACTTTTTTCGAAGAGAAATTCACATTTTCATACATATATCTTGAGGTGATTATTACAATAATATATTATATATGTCAAAATTAAACCTTAAAAATTAGATATGTAAATAAATATGAAATGTGTGGTATGTATGTAATTTTTTCTTAATTGATTGAGATTGATTTTTCCGGTTTTAATATGTGTCAAGACTAACAATTATAAGGGGCATTTACATACCTCCCAATTCTTATATATTTATATATCTAACACCTAAATTTTGATATTTGCATGCATACCACTCAAATCTTTAGCACCACATCAAAAATACCCCAATTAATATTTTTCTAAAAGCAAAATATACCTTTTAGCATAGGTTTATAAAAACAAAGTGTTATAAATGTAAACTTCAAATATTAGGTGTTAGATATGTAAAAACATAAGAATTATGAGGTATGCATATGTGTAAATTTCCCTAATTAAATTAATGCCGGACCTATGCTCCAATATGCATCACCCTTTCATGGTTGGGTATGAAATTCTTGATCTTACCTAAGCATTTGAGCATATCGAATTGGTCGGTCATATGAATATATATACATTACTATTGCTACCAATCATTTTAAGCTTCAAATTGTAATATGATTAGTAACATTGTTATAATTGAGTTTTGATTACTTCACATGTGACAAACAAAAAATATGAAATTATATTTGTATTTGCCCAGAAATGCTCCGTAGGAACAACGACCATGAGCAACTTCATGGCATATGGCGGTGGCTCACGGCTATGCGCGGGTTCAGAGCTGGCCAAGCTAGAAATAGCAATCTTCTTGCACCATCTCGTACTCAAATTTAGATGGGAGCTGGCTGAGTCCGATTGTGCCTTCGCCCATCCGTTCCTAGATTTCCAAAAAGGCCTTCCAATCAAGGTTCAAGCCATTCAAGAAACTACTATAACATAACTCCTGATTACCTTCTATAATGACATGTACTTTTAATTATTTTGTACTTCCTTTTTGTTGTTGATAATTGATATGTATTGTAATTTTAGAGCAAAACTAAGAATATATAGGTGATGGCTTGAGCTTTAAATAAGAATGGGTTGTGCTAATTGAGCCAATGCATATTTTACTCTTTTCTGGCTTATAAGCTCTTCATCTTATAGTCCAAACCTTCACCATTAAAGAGAAAATAAACTAAATGAAAGAGAAGGAGGGACAAAAATGTGAATCAAAATGAAATGTATTACATTATCTTGCATTATATTGGATTATAAAAGAGTAATATTTTAACTAGTGTTATTTTGAAGATAAAAGTGAACGGAACAATATAAGGTTGAGGTACGTGAGTCCGTTACCATGAAATCTGAAAAGAGAGTGAATGGATAAACTTTTTAAAACATTTAATGGGCATCAAATTGGGAAACGTAATTTCCGTGCTTGGTTAGGGTGGCCTCCTGGGCTTAGCAATGGAATGGGCCGATGGTTCCGCAAACGGTCTGCAGAATGGAGGAAGGGAAAATTAAGTTGTACAAATATCTTTAGAAATAAAGTATACTCATTATGTATTTCAATAAAAGGAAATACATTTGTATTATACTTTTCACTTAGAACTAACTTACGTGGTCATAGCTAATAATTATAGGGAGTGGACAGGCTTAGTTTGAAGGAGCACGTAATGGCTCTCGTTGTCTCCTTTCAGATATAATGAAAATTCCGATTCCTTGTGATATAACAATACAACATTCGTACATGTTCCGAAAACGCCCTGTCATCAACCAAACATCAATGTTCTCTCGACGGTCTCTACGACTGTAAAAAATATTACCTCAGGAGTATTGATGCATCAGTACTCCAATGGAGAGGTGCCACGTGGTATTATGGTGGGATCATTGCATATGTGACACCTCCTTATTGGAGTACTGATGCATCAGTACTCCTGAGGTAATATTTTTTCCTACGACTGAACGGAGGCGAGACGCATCCGAATGTTCTCTCGACGGTCTTTACAACTGAATAAGCCCTTAGTATTTTAGTTTGTTTCAAACCAACAAAAAATAATTTAAAAAAAACCAATTTTTAATGAGTCCATCCGATTTTTATGAATTGGGATCTTTTAGACTTTTTTTATTTTAACCCAATCTCCAAAAATTAAAAAAAAAAATTGAGATTTAAAATGAAAAAAAAAATTACAATAATGAATTACTCTGAGCTGACATTATTGATGTATATTGAATTAGAATATTAAATGTTAAATTGTTGAATATTATTATTATTATTATTATTTTATTTAAATTATATTAAAAAAATTTAATATTGTAAAACTTTGAACTTTTTTTTTCTAATTTATGTTTGGGGCAGCTTATTAGGTGCGGTGGCGTTTTGAAAACGCATCTGGTCTGGTTGGGTAAAATGGGTAAACTGCGTTGTGGCAGCTTATACATTTTCAAAACGTCGAAAACAGCATTTTAAAAATCACTAAAGCAACGCACCTAATTTTTCGAAAACAACATTTTAAAAATCACTAAAGCAACGCACCTAATTTTCTGGCAGCGGTCTGAATTTTCCAAAAAACTAAAAATTTATAATAATCATCACACCTAACTTATCAGCAAATTATTTTTAATCAAATTATTTTTAATCAGTATTTTTAATCAGCTTATCACCAGATTATTCAATAAGTTGAAGCTGCCCCAAACATACCCTTAATGTCGGATTCAGCGGTGGAAACTACCGAGCAAAAAGAAATTTAATCAGTGGATCAAAAATTAGTGAGAATACAAAAAAAAAAAAATAATAAATAAATAAAAAAAGGGGTTGCTCGTGTCGATCTTTATTTTGTTCTATTTTTTAAACTTTTTTATTGTCATAATTGTATGAAAGTTGTCATCCAAATACCCTTACAAAACATTTATAATATCTATAGTGGCTTTACAAAGCTTGTTTATTTGCAGTAGCTTTATAGTCACATTTATAAAAATACTGCAAATTGGCCCAAACAAATTCATAATTTCTTGCCTTTGAGTTCTAAGTCTGTTTTATTTTATTTTAAATTCATTGCTTTTGGTGAGCTATTTATTCGAAATAAATAACTCAGGAAAACTTCTCATTGAAATTCCAAAGTGTTTTTTTAAGTAAGAAAATTAATAAGAATATTTTAATTAAATTTAGCTGGATTTGATTTTAAATTATTAGATTAATTAAAAAACAATGTAATAGTAAATTAAATTTAGATCAAAAAAATTATATTTTAGTCCAAATTCATAAGGTAAAGACGATAGAGTAAAAGTGATGAAAATAATAAGAAATTCAGATTTTTAAACAATAATGCATAAATAGGAAAAGAATTTTATGAAAATTGATGTGTGCTAGAAGCTTCTCAGCGGTAGAGTAATAAATTTTTGTGTTAGCATTGCATGAGAATTTAACGCACGTTAAGAAAAAAGAAAACAACTAGTAGCGACACAAGAAGTTATTACGTAGAAGACCTGTAAAGGGTAAAAACTACAGGCTGTCACAGTTGAAGAGATTCATTATGAACTGAAGAACACAAATACAACCTCTTCTCCCACAAACGGAATATGTTTACAAAGTCTCCGGAGTGAAGTCGAACACGAACAGGCCCAAGCTCAACTTGTGTTTGACTCATTTATATTTCGAATAAAAAAATGTGTTTGTGTTCGACTTTTATATATATATATATATATATAATTGGTTTCAGAGTCATGAGCGGCTAAATTCTTTCTGGAATTCTTTTTCTATAAGTAATTTTAATATGATAACCTAACGATTGTCAGGATAGGTGTATCTTATATAGTAAAGTCGGGTGTTGCTCTGCAACTTAATATCCTTGACTGACATACAGAATATACTGAGTTCGACATTCTGGTCTGATAATATTATTGTTCTAAGCTAAGCTTAATCATGTGGCCATCGTCGCATGTGGGCGTTTTTATGTCTGGGATGGACGCTTTGTTGTCTGGTTCTTGTTGACTCGGCCCGTTTGGATTAAAACCTAAGTGGAATGATAATACTATCAACTAGCTGATGTTAGATTACTCCATTAAACTTATTTAAAGAAAAAAGAATTCTAGATGTTTTTCTAATTGCTTTTCCTGAGCTTTTCTTCGAGGTACAATAGTACTACAATATCTAAAAATCTATAAAGAACTCAATTAAGAAATAATAATATTAAGAACTCGATTAAGAAATAATAATATTTAAAATGCAGAATTACAGGAATATCCTATAAATGAAGAAGATTTAAATAAATGAACTATTCTTAAAGTAGAAAAAACTCTAATCCACAAAATTGAAACTTTTAATTTTAAAGACACGTCATCAATTAAAACTGTTGAACAATCGTTAACAATAGATGAATATAAGAAAATAATTTCTCTTTTAAACCAAGAAGATTTAAGTAGTTACTTAGAAAATTAAAAATATATTCACATATGCTTAATACAAGTAGCAATTAAACCTCTTACACTTAGAGGACTAAACGCTTCAATTTTAGCTTGCTTAAGAGATGCAATATGCTTAAATTGCGCAATCATTGATGGGTGTCATGGAAACTAGTCTATGTCATGAGCCAGTTTTCTTTAACACTTTTCCAAATATAAGTCTTTCACTGACAGACATAAATCTCTTTGAAGCAGCTAAAATACAGATAAAATTACATGGGTATGAATTTTTACATGATCTGAAACAATCGCAATAATCTATCGAATTTATTTCAAAGTTATGAATACTTTATGTCAGAATATTTAAAATAATATGAAGTCAACAGATAGATCTACAATTGTAGAAACTAATTTGCTAGCTTCAAATATAGCTACAAATAGGACTATAAAATAGGATGAAGTTAGATTCCCTGAATCATGGCAGTTGCAAACTGCTATAAATTCTCATCCTGTAATAAATCAAGATGTAAAACAAGTTAGACAAGATGCTAACGGAGATGTTGTCATAAGATTTAATCTGAGAAGATCCATTACTCTTCCACAAATATCTTATCCCTCTTCTAATATATCTCAAAATGATTCGGATGAATTATCAACAATAAATCATAGAATAGATAGAATAAATCTATCAAATAATAATTTATTACACTCAAATAGGGTAGAAAACATATCTCTGCAATCAGAAGCAGTTTTAATTTTAATAATAACTGATTTAAAACAATTCGCCAAAAAACAAATCAGACAAAATTTAATCAATGATTATCTAAAACCAAAATATGAATCATTTAGAAATTGGTATCGTAGTTATACTACAGAAGATGATAGAAGAAAAATCTCTGAAATTTATTTTGAAGAAAATGAAAATAGATTTTACAAAGGAAAAGAATTTATTTCATTCTTAACCTGGTTTAGTAATCATATAACCAAAAAAATTGGAAAATGAATTAGACATGCTAACCAGGAAATGAAAAATTAATTCTGGAAAAATAGTAGAATCAATTTATCCTTCGACTATTCCCACAATATTGGATTTAGATAATAGAAATCCAAATTTTGAGTTAAATGCTTTTGGAAAAACTCTAAAAACCAATGCCACCAAAGATTTTATTGGTGTAATCAAACAATTAAATTTTACAAATACAAATTTATCTTTAATACCAAATCACTTAATGAAATTAGAAAATAAAAATTAATCAACTCTTTATCTCTTTAAAAAATCAAAAAGAAGAAAAAACAAGTTCGATAATTATATCTTCAGCTCCTGCTCTACAACCACCTACTAGTCGTAATTTCCACCTAGGACCATCGACTCAAAATTTTAAGGAATTAATTAAAAATATAAAAAGTACTAAAATAACAACCTTAAATAAAGATGATCAATTAACAAATTTTGAGAATGATAAGATTAAAATTGAACATATTGAAGAACAATTTCAAGATAATAATTCAGAACTAAAATTATTTAAAATACATAAAATAAAAGGTAATAAAATGTCATCTTCATATCAAACAAGACAGACAGGTCTATACTACTATCCTCGACCTACCCCTGCAGATGTTTTATATGAAGAAGATAACAACAAATATCAAAATGATTATAATCCATCTAATATTTATGAATGAGACATTGATGATATGATTGATCGTCAAATACAAATAATATTACAAAGAACGATGATTTATGTCTCTGCCGCACAGAGCC